CAGATTCTATCCTGCCTCTAGGACATCCAGGGAGGGGAAGAGAAAGAGAGTAAAGCAGGGCAGGGTGTTTGCCTTGCATGCAACCATGGCTCACCCTGGTTGGATGGCAAGCATCCCATCATATAGTCCCCCTATATGAGTAATTCTTTAGCGCAGAACCAGGAGTAACCCCTGTATGGCCCCAAAGCAAAATAAAACAAAACAAAAAATCTAGGACACCAGCGCATCAGTTATTAAACAGGATTCCAGGGCATCTTTAGGCCCTTGACCCTCAGTGAAAACTCAGACTTACAATACCCAGCCCTGCAGGGAAGTTCAGATTTGTGAGTCAAGTATGTAATTTCCTCTTAAAGTTTTAGCTGCTCTACCATAAAATAGGCTTTCATGCCCAGGGAACCGTCCAGAGCCCACTTTCCCTGCCTGGAACTCATCTGCTCCGTGCCAGTTTCAGCAGAGACCACCTCCTTGCTGGTTTCTTCTCTCCCATCCTCAAGCCCCTGCTGCAGCCTCAGGACTGGCCCGAAGCACTGGTAGTTCTCAGCTCTCCTGCATCAGTTTCTGGGATTGACCTTATTTTATAGCCTCAATACTCCCCAGAATCTACTGTGATCTAGAGTACCAATCAGAGATTTTTATTTTAAGTGAAGGAGTGATAGCTCAAAGGGTTGTGCTCAGACTTTGCACACAGGAAGCCTTAGTTCAATCCCGGGCACAGCATCATATTCCAAGCACCACTTCATGTGAGCAATCCCCGAGCACTGAGATAGGAGTAGCCCCCCAAACGCCAAGTGTTACCAACAAATTTTAACACAATATACAAAAGATACATAATATAAATCTGTAAGCCTATGCACTAATATTTTTATTTTTCTTTCTTTTTTTTTTTTTTGGAGTCCTGGGGACTGAACCCAAGACCTTACATGTGCAGGGTAACTGCATATTTTGAAGATCATCTTAAAGAAAACATTCTTATAATCTTGTTAGCTTTTATTTGCTGAAACAGTCAAAAGAACGAACTCACTTTTCCAGAAAGCCCTGACAGAGCCACTAAAACCCAGACAACTGTGTTATCATGTTAAGTATGTTTACATTGCTTATTTAATCATTATAACAAACTTTGTAAAAAGTGATATTGAAATACTCATGGCAGAGATAAAGTAAACAAAATTTAAGCAACTCAGGACTCCCCTGGCTTCCTCCATCTGGCCTCCACTACAGAACTACTCAGCAGAATGCAAAGCTCTAAGGAACAGGACAAGGCCCTGAAGCCCAGCTGGGGCCCAGCAGGAATCAACCATAATAGCAAGGATGGCAGGATAATCAGAACAAAAGTTTCCTCTCTTATGGACAAACTACCTGAGGAACATCACTGAGAGTCATCACATCACTGAGAATAAAAGTATAAAACCAACCATCCTCTAGTCCTTGTTTTTTGTTTTTTGCTTTTTGGGGTCACACCTGGTGATGGTCAGGGGTAATTCCTGGCTCTGCACTCAGTAATTACTCCTTCCAGGGCTTGGGGAACAATATGGGACTGAGCTGAACTTCAGGGGATTAAACTAACACCCAAGAATGGTCAGCCGCATGCAAGGCAAACGTCCTACCTGCTGTACTATGGATCACTCCAGCCCCTCTAGTCCCTACTTTGTAATGGGTCTGCCCCACTGCAAGTGCCCTAAGTGAAACTCCAGACATGCCCAGGTCATTTGATGATAACCACTGCAGAGACAAAATGGTTCACGATTATTAATATTGCTAAATAAACCCAATAGGGGCCAGAGCAATCATATGGCATTTGCCTTAGATGTGGCCACTTAGGTTTGATCCCCGGCTTCCCATACAGTCCCTTGAGCACCGCCAGGATTGATTCCTGAGTGCAGAGCTAGGAGTAACCCCTTAGCATTGTCAGGTGTGGCCCCAAAACAAAAACAAATGTTAAAAAATAAATAAGCAAGTCAAATAGGGAAGTTATAAAGATAATGTGGCAATTCTTGATATGTGTGTGAGTGTGTATAGGTTATTATGCATATCCCTTTACCTACTTTCATATATATATATGACTGTGTCATGGGGAGGAAAAAGGAAAGGGATGGGGGAGTGGATTTTTTTCTGAGATTAAAAGATACAAAAGAAATGTAACCATTAGTTGTAATACTTGAACTTTGATGAATTGGAAAAAACTGTATGAAATGCCCTGGTATGAAATGTATGAAATGCCCTGGTATTAGTTGGGGAAATCTAAATGTAATTATATACACATATAGAATGAAATTGCTCATTCTTTTTATTATTATTTTTTTTTTTTTTAATAGTGAGACATCATGAGGTACAGTTGCAGACTTACACATTTTTGTGCTTGGGTTTCAATTACAACACCCGTCCCTCCACCAGTGCGCATTTCCCACCACCACGGATCCCAGCATCCCCTCCCCCCCCAGCCCCCATCCCACCCTGCCTCTGTGGCAGGGCATTTCCCTCTCTCTCCTTTTGAGTGCCATGGTCTGCAAAAGAGGCATTGAGTGGCAATCATGCTGGTCGACAGTCTACCCTCAGCATGCTCTCCCATCGTGGGCGGATCCTCCCAACACCCTTTATTTGGTGTTCCCTTCTCTTTCTGAGCTCCCCCTTCCCCTAACATGTGTGGTTGTCCTCCGGGTCATTGAGTAAAATTCCTGGTACTAATCTCTGCCATTCTTGGGTGTTAGTTTCCTATTTTGTTACTTTATGTTCCCCAGATGAATGCAATCTTTCTATGTCTATCCCTTTCTTTCTGAGTCATTTCGCTTAACATGATACTTTCCATGTAGTACCACTTGTATGTAAATTTTATGACTTCGTCTTTTCTAACAGCTACATAGTACTCCATTGTGTAAATGTACCAAAGTTTCTTTAACCAGTCATCTGTTCTCGGGCACTCACTGTTGGTGGGAATACCGACTGGTTCAGCCCTTTTGGAAAACAGTCTGGATGATTCTCAAAAAACTAGAAATTGAGCTCCCATTTGACCCAGCAATACCACTCCTGGGAATATATCCCACAGAGGCAAAAAAGTATAGCCAAAGTGACATCTGCAATTGTCTGTTTATTGCAGCACTCTTTCCAATAGCCAGAATCTGGAAATTGCTCATTCTTTAGGTATAAAGCTGACAGTGCAATGATATAGAAGATGATTACATTAAGGAATGCCACGTTGTTACAAAAAAAAAAGGAGTAAAGTATCATTACATTTGCAACTTATTTCCAAACTGTTTTCAACAAAATTTGTACCTATTTGTGTGTGAGTATAAAATGTTTCATAGACACACAAAAAGAAGAGAAACAAATGTGACAAAATAGTAACAAACTTGTTTGTTTGGGGGGGGCCATACTTGGTAGTGCTCAGGGGTTACTCTTGGCTTTGCACTCAAGAATCACTCCTGGTGGGGGACCATATGGGGTTCTAGGAATTGAACCATGGTCGACCTTACCCACTCCTGGCCCCAATTTAATTATTCTAGACCAGAGGTTCCCACATTTATTAGGCCTACTTCACTCTTAGAAAAAAAAAATCACTCAGCACCCCCTGGAAATCCACCTTCTCCTTTTTTATTTGAATCACAATGAGATACACAGTTACAAAGTTGTTCATGGTTGGGTTTCAGTCATATAATGTTCCAGCACCCATCTCTCCACCAGTGCACATTTCCCACCACCAGCGTCCCCAGTTTCCCTCCTTTTGCCCCACCACCAACACCACTGTCGCCTGTCTCTATAGCAGGCAATCCCCCCTCCTCTCTCTCTCTCTCTCTCTCTCTCTCTCTCTCTCTCTCTCTCTCTTTCTCTCTCCCTCTCTCCCTCCCCCCCTCCCTCTCTCTCTCTTTCTCCTTTGGGGCATTATAGTTTGTAACACAGGTACTGAAAGGTTATTATGTATATCCCTTTACCTACTTTCAACACTCAGTTATTGTACAGAGTGATCATTTCTAACTCTTGTTGTAATACTGGTTCCTTTTCTATCCTAACAGCCCTTTGCCCTCCACACACTTGTGGCAAACTTCCAAATATTGATTAGTCTTCCTGGCCCCTGTTTTTCCTGGCCTTGGATATTAGTCTCATACTATTTTTTTCATATCCCACGAATGAATGCAATCATTCTATACATATCCCTTTTCTTCCTTCTCATTTCGCTCAGCATGATACTCTCCATGTCCGTCCATTTATAAGCAAATTTCATGACTTCATTTTCCCTAACAGCTGCTTAGTATTCCATTGTGTAGTTTTATTTTCTTTTTGCAGTCATCTATTATTGGGTGCTAAGGTTGTTCCCAGAAAATAATTCTTCTTCTTCTTCTTCTTCTTCTTCTTCTTCTTCTTCTTCTTCTTCTTCTTCTTCTTCTTCTTCTTCTTCTTCTTCTTCTTCTTTCTTCTTCTTCTCCTTCTTCTCCTTCTTCTCCTTCCTCCTCTTCCTCTTCCTCCTCCTCCTCTTCTTCCTCCTCCTCCTCTTCCTCTTCCTCTTCCTCTTTCTCTTCCTCTTCTTCTTGGAGTACTGCTATTTATTCAGCCATTGATTAAGCTGGAATTCCACCTTCTTTAAGGGAACAGACAGAAAGTGCCTCTGCTCCCCTTTTGTAGTACCCAAGGTCACTACTGCTCTCTGGATAGCTCCAGCAACCTGCTAGGGGGCAGTATCTTGTATTCTGGAATACATGTAGGTAAAATGGTCATCATGCATTCTTCCCATTTTTTTTAATAGGTCTGGCAAACCTCATCATAAAAATACTGGAGAAATCATATGTTGCTCTTAAAATATTATTTAAAGATAAGTATTATTATCTTTGTGTTTTATTTTTCAGTTGAGTGTACTATTGGATATATATTCATACTCTTTAATAATTTCTTTCAAAAAAAAGATTTTGTTTTGCCCTCTTGGCTTCCAATAAGGAATATTCAGATAACAAGCTTATTACCAACCATGGCCAACTTTGTTCCAGGAATTGCTTTCCTCCATTCATTTGCAGACCCTAATGAGGAGTTTTATGGCCGTGGGCTTTATGCCTGCCCTTCTGTGCTACCTTACTCTTCTGCTTTTGGTGGTGGTTCTTCTTAAGGCAAATGTTGCCTTTAGCATTTTTCTTGGTTGCTCGTTCTTTCATCCATTGCTTAAGAATACGACTATGCGGGCTGACACAGATTCTTCTGTGTTTGATGTGAAGGCTGTGGTGATAGAAAGAAGAGAAAGAAAAAAAAAGAAAGTTATTGACTGAAAATACAAGTAAGTGAAACTCAGCTGTGTTTCCCACATTTAGGGAAACCAAATCCTGAATCTGAGCATGATAGACTCTGCTGCCTGTGCTCTATAGAAAGCATTGAAGGATGGAGGAAAGAAATGGGGAGAGAAGAGGGGAGAAGAGAGAATAATGGAAGGATGGAGAGAAGAAAGGTGGAGGGGAGGAGAGAAACCCGGTGAAATCAGTTCTTTTTCTGGACACAAACTTCATCCAATAAAATCAAGTTATTTGTTACTGCCCTTTCCAACACATCCTCTTCAGGAAAAGTTGTTCAGAGCCTCTCAGTAAAATGTCCCTTTCCCATACTGGAGTCTCATGGCACTGGTTAGCTTTTACTTGAGTGTGTGTGTCCCACTCTCTTGTTTCTTGTGGTGGTATGATCCTCATAGAGTCATCTGAGAATCATCTTGCTTACAGAAGAAAGTCAGCAATCAACTGTGAAATCTAAAGACAATCTGGTTTTGTTTCCAATAAAATGAGCTAAAATATTGCAGAAGTTTCTTATTCTTTTAAACCACATAAACGTCTACCATACAATTAAGATCTTCCTTTTTTCCTTCCTTCCTTCCTTCCTTCCTTCCTTCCTTCCTTCCTTCCTTCCTTCCTTCCTTCCCTCCCTCCCTCTCTCCCTCTTTCTTTCTTTCTTTCTTTCTTTCTTTCTTTCTTTCTTTCTTTCTTTCTTTCTTTCTTTCTTTCTTTCTTTCTTTCTTTCTTTCTCTCCCCTTCCTTCCTTCCTTCCTTCCTTCCTTCCTTCCTTCCTTCCTTCCTTCCTTTCTTCCCACACTCAGTGGTTCTAAGGGAAAACTGTATATGGTGCCAGGGACTGAATCTGGGTTTACCATGTGTAAGGCAAGCACCCTACTCACTGTACTGTCTTTCGGGTCCTATTTTCAACTAGCAGCAGCTGCCTCAGACCTCACCAATTATAGTGATGATTTCTAAGCATGAAACAATGAACCTATTTCTAGGCAGAAAAGGAAAGCAACCTAATGAGTTCACTGTAAGTTAATTCATATGAGCTCATTGTAATTAATAATACATGTGTGGAAATTATCTTTCAGACACTACCAATATTTTTGCATCTAAAATACTTTGTCTCAACACTAGATATTCTCACTACTCTGTGGTAATCAGAAAAACATACCTAGGAGCATCAAAGATGGGCAAAGTTTTGACTCTAGATTACAGAAACAAAAATGTCAAGGAAGAAGGAGATGAAAGAGGGAAGCAAGAAGAAGAGGTCCAGAAGTAGCAAAGGAAAGGGTCAGGGACCTTGGGCATCTCTATGGTATTGATGCAGGTATCTGTCTATACCTAAACCCCTATACCCAACACTACTGAAAACATGGGACCCAAGCTCAAATAATTAAACTTAAGGAAGTATCTAAAAAAAAGGAAGGAGAGAGAGAGAGAGAGAGAGAGAGAGAGAGAGAGAGAGAGAGGTAGGGAGAGAGAAGTGCCTGACATAGAGGCAGGCTGCCAGATGGAGGGTGACCAGAGGAAAATGAGAGACATAGGTGGTGAGAAATGTACACTGGTGAAGGGATGGGTATTGAAACATTATATGACTGAAACCCAACAATGAACAACTTAATAACTATCTCACAGCAATTCAATAAAAAAGAAGAAAAAATCTATCTATCAAGGATTCATATTGGGGGTGGGAGGAGTAATGGAATTAAGGGGTGTTGGGATTGGAGGTGGGACATTATATATCCAAAAGTTTATGGTAGACAACTTTGCGAATTGAGGAGTCTAAACAAAAATTTAAAACAAGACAATAAAATGATACATTTTAAACCTTAAATTTATTCCACAAAGGCAGAACTAAGAAACAACATTTTGAACAAGAAAAGACATACTCTGCAGTAAAACTATTTAAAAACAAGGTCAATTTTGTCTTTATTTTCAGTTTTTTGCTGAAAATCAGGAAACACAAGAATATCTGTAATCTATAATTTAAAAAAGCACTACATAGTGAAATTTCATCTTATTTGAGGACAGACCTGGACTTTTTCAGTTGCTAATCAGAGGTCAATTTTTAAAATATTATTATTATTTTTTAAAGAATCAGCCAATTTATTTATTTATTTATTTATTTATTGCTTTTTTGGGTTATACTCGGCGATGCACAGTGGTTACTCCTGGCTCATGCACTCAGGAATTACTCCTGACAGTGCTCGGGGGACCATATGGGATGCTGGGAATTGAACCCGCGTTGACCGCGTGCAAGGCAAACACCCTACCCACTGTGCTATCACTCCAGTCCCTTAAAAATATTTTTGTTTTTTGTTTCTTTTTTAGTTTTTTTGGGCCACACCTGGTGGTGCTCAGGAGTTACTCCTGGCTCTCTGCTCAGGGATCACTTTTAGTTGGGCTCAGGGGACCAAATAGAATGCCAGGGATTGAACCCATGTTGGTTGTGTTGTACAGCAAGTGCCCTACCTGCTATACTATCTTTTCAGTCACAGAGTCACAGAGAGGTCAGTTTTACAAACTTGTACTTGATATTTAGATAGATAGATAGATAGATAGATAGATAGATTAATTTTTGAGCCACACCCGACTGTGCAGAGGTCTTACTCCTGGCTCTGAGCTCAAGGATCACTCCAGATGGGGCTCCCAGGCCTATATGTGGTGCCAAGCATCCAATACAAGCCAGTGCATGCAAGACGGATGCCTTATGATACTATCTCTTTGGTTCCTTTGAATAAAATATTTTTATTTGTGTGTTTTTGTAGTGCTGGGAATCAAACCCAGGGTTTCACAATTGCAAGGCAAATGTTCTACCTCTGAACCCTATCCCAAGCCTCAAACAAAATATTTTCGAATTCAAGTGATTGGCTCATATTTTTCATCTACTTAAAATTAATTCCACATGAAATTGAAGATTTATTTAAATCATGTTTTCTCTTTTCAAGGTGAGGATTTACTTCATTTCTGTTTCTATACTTTTCAATTTCTAATTCGGACTGGCTTATCACAAAGAAACATTTCTGAAAAACTTGTTGCCATTGGTCTCCAGTCCCCAGCATCTCTCTCTTATTCGTACAGACACACAGAAACTTCTGATTCTTTTCTCATGTCTTCCTGGAAAGTCCTGTGATAACCTTTACAGCTTCCGTAGTGTCATTAGTCTGAAGCGACACCTACTATGAAGGTGAAATGGTACTGACCATTGCAAATGGGCAACAAGCGTCTCTGAGAGAAGCCCGAGCAGCCTCAAGCACAGGACTGAATTCAGCTTGGTGGACCTGACACAGACATCCAGAAGTTTCCAATATTCCAAGTATGGTCTGTTTAGCAACTACCTTTGAAACTACCTTTTCTCTCCAACTATGGCCAGCACTATATATTAAGATTAAATTAAAAACCTATAGGATCTCAGTAGGCCATGAATAAGATAATTCCTTTCTCCCATGCAGACACTTAGGCTGAGGAATGTTCTGGGTGAAGAGCTATCTTCCTCAAAATCTAATCCTGAGTATGACTTTTACTCTTTTTGAGAGCTCAGATATTCTTTGTTTGTTTTGGGGCTACACCCAGAGGTACTCAGGACCTGGCTCTGTGCTCAGTTATCGCTCCTGGTGGAATTCAGAAAAACCCTATGGGGTGCTGGGGATTGAAGCCGGGTCAGCCACTTGCAAAGTTAGCACCCTACTCACTGTACTGTATTTCCAGCCCCAGATCTCAGATCGTCTTTAAGAATCTTGTAAGATCTATAAAGTTCTGCACAAGAAAGGTGGGGGTGATGCTCACGTATTCAACCCACAAATTTCTGTGAGCCCACAGCCCCTTGGCATAATGGAAGTCCAGCAATGAACATGTTGCAAACTCTCCCTGAGCCTGTGAGAGCCTCGGCAGGAGCAGCATCTCCAAGTTGGACAATGGGCGTGGATTCCTCTGAAAGTGGGCAAGGGGGTCCGTCTCAAGAACCATCTGTGGGACTGGAGCGATACCACAGCAGGTAGGGCATTTGCCTTGCATGTGGCCTACGCGGGTTTGATTCCCAGCATCCCATATGGTCCCCTAAGCACTGCCAGGAGTAATTCCTGAGTGCAGAACCAGGAGTAACCCCTATGCATTGCCGGGTGTGACCCAAAAAGCAATAAATAAATAAGTAAATAAAATGAAATATTTTAAAAAAAGAACCATCTGTAAACCTCAGTGGATCAGGATCTCCTAAAGACATCTTGTCATTGCTGCACGCCCAGATCTTAGGATGGTGCTTGGGACACACTCTTGAATCAACAAATATTTGTTGAATTTACAAAAGTTTACAAATATTCATCAAGAGCTTCCAATGACTTCCCAGGAACAATCAATGGATTTATCTATATCCCAAGAAGGGGTAAAAAAGCGAGTGCCTCATTTGTGTTACTGGGAGCCTTACATGGCCTGAAATCTGCATGTCAGCATGCCTACCAACAATCTGGTGCTGAATGCAATGGGCCTTGGGGAGTGCATGTATATTTCATTTCATATGGGAGACTGTAACTTCCGCAAGCTTGTAGGTATATTGTGTGACCAGGAGACCTGGACCCCCCTCCCACTTGTGCCAGTCACTCGGCATATGGCAGCAGGTAAACTAAGACACCTCCTTAGCCACACCCCCATGTTCAGTGTAAAGCTTTGGATCAACTGCCTAGGGGCGGGGGGGAGGAGGGGTGCTGAGGAAACAGGGTAGAGAAGGATGGAAGGGTTCCCAGTAAGGCAGCAGCTCAATCAGAAGGAAAGAGGACATGTGTGCAGGCTAGCAGGTGGGACATGGTGTGAGGGTGAAACTGATGCCATGACAAGCTGCAGCTAACATTAAATCTCAACGAGGCCTCTGTTTCTGTTTCCCCAGACCAGAACTTGCAGTTTCTGGTAAACTCCCAGTTGAGTAATTTGCTGAGATAAGGAATTGGGCAGTTGGGTCTGGCCGGTCATTAGGGGTCACTGTACCCTCCTTAGAAACTGTTGTTAACCATTGCCTAATTGCTGACCACCATTGTAATATGGTCAATGCTAAAAATAGACCAGTATATAAATTGCTTCTTAACTCTGAACCCTATACAAACTGCTTGTGAGTTGGAGTCGTGGTTCTTATCAAGACTCCACTGTGCTGGATGAGACTTGGACTCAGCTTGAGCTAGCAATGGCTCGGGCTAGTAATAAAGTTCCTTTGCTTTTGCATTATTGTGTGTTGACTTGGTTCTCTCCATAATTGGGAATCTGAAACTCAGGCACAACAATGGCTGTTTGGAGAGTAGAAATGACAACAACAACCCACATATTAAATTTACAGTTAAAGATACGGAAAGAAGTCACTTTTGCCTCCTTCTTTTGCTTAGGGAAATAGTGAACAGTATCGGGTAGCTGAGAGCCTCTAGCCTTATGCACAGCATTACTGCATGGGGAGTAGAGGCTATTGTGGGACTCAGGACAGCCAGAGTCCAGCATCTCCCCATATTCTACGATGGTCTCCCCCACTGATGTGTAGAGCTTCTTCCTGTGGCTTCAGTGAGCCATTTGCAAAGATTATGTATAGTAATTCTGAGAAATGGAGAGATTGCATAACATAACTTTTATTACAGTGCACTGTCATAATTGCTCTATTTTATTATTATTGTCTATTATCATTTATCTTTTTTTCTTTTTGGGTCACACCCAGCAATGCACAAGGGTTACTCCTGGCTCTGCACTCAGGAATTACTCCTCGTGGTGCTTGAGTGACAATATGGAATGCTGGAAATCGAACCCCAGTAAGCTATGTGCAAGGCAAACACCCTACTCGCTGTGCTATCGCTCCAACCCCTATCATTTATCTTTTATGGTGCTTAATGTTTCTTGCTTCTTGTTGGGGTCACATCCTGTGGTGCTCAGGGGCAAGTGATACTAGGGATCGAATCCAGGTTATCACACATGCAAGACTTGTGCTCTACCAGTTGAGCCACATTCCTGTCCCCTTACTGTGTTTCCTTTATAGATTAAATGCATAGGGAAGAAGCTAGAGTGATAGTACTGTGGGTAGGGCACTTGTCTTTCATGCAGCTGACCCAGGTTTGATCCCTGGCATCCCATATCTGAGTGCAGAGCCAGGAGTCACCCCTGAACATCACTGGGTATGACCCCAAGCCCAAAAATAAATAATTTTTAAATAGGGAGAATATATAATATATACAGGGTTTGGTATAAGCTGCATTATTGGGCATCTACTGGGGTTCTTGACACCTGTCCCCAACAAGCAAGGGAGGGGGGCTCTAGTGCAGAGGAATTGTGTGTCCACCCCAGAGAATCTCGAGCATGAAGGTCAAATGTCTTCCCTCAACCCCCTTAGTTTGATGATGATGTGTATTTGGTGTATTCAGCCTAGATGTCCCAGCCTGCTGTCCTTCAGCTCAAGAAATGATCATGGAATTGATCATCAGACCCCTGGGATAGCAAGTACTCACATGACAGCAGACAAGTCACAGTCCCCATCCACTTTCTGAATGCGACACATGGTCACTCTTTGCAGAAGCCTTTTGGAAATATGATGTGAAACCTCAGTGCAACAGCTAGAAGCAATGGGAAGGATGGCTACAAGAGGAACAGAAAGAAAAGGTTCAGACTTGCTGTTTCTAGAACCATGATCTGGCTCTCATCTGATGGACCCCCCCAAAAAAAAAGGTGGAGGGGAGACTTTGTTTGCATGGCCAGAAGCTGCCTATAACTTCCAGCAGAGACTCTGTATTTGTAAGAAACAAAACACTGAGTACCACCAAAGACAGAGTCAAGAAAAGAATTAAGGAAAACAATACTAGTGAGGTATAGGTTAGTCACATTCAAGATTGTCCCACGCTAAGAGAAGAGTTCCTGGGCCCCAGTGCAGTTTAAAAGAGTTTTGCTCGGCATGCACTTAAATGAATCTTAAAACATTTGATGTTGGAGAGATAGAACCTTTTCCAGACAAAAGGATGTGCAGAATCAAGACTACTAAGACTGGAAAATCCAAGGCACATTTAGGATATGAGAAAAAAATGGGCCATTCAGTAGCTATGAGGATTTGTGATATGCTCAAGAGACAGAGATTCTGAATGACAGTCTAAGGAGGTTTAATTTGTGACTTTTTTTATTGGGTCATCATGTGACACAGTTACAGACTTTCATGATTACTTTTAGTCATACAATGATCCCTTCACTGTGCACATTTCCCACCACCATTGTTTCCAGTGTCCCTCCCGCCACCCCCACCCCTTCCCCCTGTGGCAGGTACATTCCTTCTTGCTGTCTCTCTAATTTAGGGTGTTATGATTTACAATACGGATACTAAGAGGCCATCAAGTTTAAAATCCCTTGTCTACTTTCAGGACACGTATTCCATCCTGAGTGATCCCTCCAACTATCATTTACTTACTGATCCCTTCTCCATCCCAACTTCCTTTTCCCACAGCACATGAGGCTGGCTTCCAAACCATGGAGTGATCCTCCTGGCCCTTATCTCTACCGTCCTTAGGTGTTTAACTTGTGACTTTTATGGGTATCATTAAACATCTGAGCAAGAGAAAGGTTTTAAGAAAACCCATCATTGCAGTTATTACCAAGGATTAAAGTGGAAGAGTGTCAGGGGCAGGAGATCAAGTGGGAGGATCTTGCATGTTCCAGATATAAGGAGAAGAGAGTGCTCAAATATATTAAAGGAATCTGTTCTGCTGCTAAGATATGTGTGTGTGTGTGTGTGTGTGTGTGTGTGTGTGTGTGTGTATACAAAGTCTGGCATGCCATGTGCACACAGAAATCTCTTGTTAGTGGGCAGTAAATTCTACTTAAAATTTTAGAAAGTGGTGCCTGGGCATATGACTTAGTGGTAAAGCTCTTGCCTTACATATGTGAGGCAGTAGGTGTAAGTCCTACACCAAAAAAAAATCATTCAAAACATTTTTAAGCTCCTAACAATTTAGAAATTATAGCCACCAGTGGCTGTAGGTAGTGGCCTCATAATGGCCAATAGAAGCTAGCCCATGAATTAGGAGTTAAAAGAAATTGTTTGAGGGGCTGGAGTGATAGTACAGTTGACAGGTTTGCCTTGTACTTGGCCAACCCAGGTTGGCCAATCCCTGGCAATCCCATATGGTCCCCTGAGCACTGCCAGGGGGGTTGTTAAATCAGGGTTAATTCCTGAGTGCAGAGGCAGGAATAACCCCTGAGCATCTCTGGGTGTGATCCCCCCCAAAAAAAGAAGAAGCAAAAGAAACCAAAAGAGGGGCTGGAGTCATAGCACAGAGGGTAGGGCGTTTGCCTTGCACACGGCCGACCCTGGTTCTATTCCCAGCATCCTATATGTTCCCCTGAGCACCGCAGGAGTAATTCCTGAGTGCAAAGCCAGGAGTAACCCTTGTGCATCACCAGGTGTGACCCAAAAAGCAAAAAAACAAAAACAAAACAAACACTGTCCTCCCATTGTTCATCGATTTGCTCGAGTGGGCCCAGTAACATCCCCATTTTTTTGAGACTTGTTGTTACTGTGTTTGGCATATTAAATACGTCACGGGTAGCTTGCCAGGCTCTGCCGTGTGGGCAAGATACTCTCAGTAGCTTGCCGGGCTCTTCTAGAGGGGCGGAGGAATCAAACCCAGATCGGCTGGGCTGGTTGCATGCAAGGCAAACGCCCTACCACCGTGCTATTGCTCCAGCCCTCAAAAAAAAAAAAAAGAAAGAAAGAAACCAAAAGAAATACTTTGATCGTGACTTGCTCTTCAAACCTGTGTTCTGCCTTGAACATGTACCTTGCTTGCTTGTCTCTACGTTGTTTCCTTGCTTATTTTCACTCTTTGAAGAAGTGTGTGTTCTCTTTTGAACATGTGCATCTCCCTCTCTCTCCCCCTCGCATTTTTCTAAGTAAGTCACAACAACTTGCTTCACAGAAAAGAAAGAAAGAAAGAAAGAAAGAGAGAGAGAGAACGACCCTCACATCTTCCTAAGTAAGTCACAACAACTTGCTTCACAGAAAAGAAAGAAAGGAAGGAAGGAAGGAAGGAAAGAAGGAAGGAAAGAAGGAAGGAAGGACAGAAAACATTGCATCCTTGGCTCTGTCTCTAGCGTCAGTGCTGAGCATGTACAGGTGTTGCCTCTTCGGGTGGGGGCTGTTTCTTGTTCATTCCTGGCCCACATAGAAACGTCAGGCTGCCCCACAGCTATGGAGTAAAGAAGGAGCCAGTGTGATTGTCAACATCCCTATTGCTCACTCTCTGGGCACAAATGCTATTCATAACCATCATCTTTTCATCCTCTCATTTATTCTCTTTTCCAACAAACATCTGAGCAATTAAAATATTCTGGACACAATGCTACTCACAAGGGGTTTCAAAAATAAATTAGACCATATATTTCTGTCCTGAGAAGCAACAGTCTGGAACAGAAATGCTCAAGACAACCTCCCATTGGTCCATGTCTTTCTGGGAAGTTTCCACAAGTCCCGAAACCGATGCACCACTGTTCACTACAGCACATTAGAGACTCTCTTAAAATCAACCAACAGATGGTGGCTGGAGAGATAGTACAGTGGGAAAGATGCTTGCCTTACATGCAGCCAACATGGGTTTGATCCCCAGCATCACATATGGTCCCCTGAGTACCACCGGGAGTAATTCCTGGAGTGCAGTCAGGAATAACCTCTGAGCACTGGCCGGTACTACCAAAAGACCAAAAACTAACAAATAAAAAAGCTTCCCAATAATTAAATAATGTCACATCCAACTAGAATGAAGGATGAGTAGAAACATATTCATGTTTACATATGTTAATGTCGCCTCTCTCACCAATTATTAAAGAGGAAAATTGCGCTTCAGTATGAAACTACAAATCCTGGTTTTGTTCCAAAAAAGTATTCATAGGGAAGAAAAGTTAAGGAAATATGTACATATATGGGTCCAAATAAAAGCAAAGGGGAAGCTTTTAGCTAGCAAGCAAATTTTGCAGTTTTTACCGACCTCCAGTGCTCTCTCCAGAGGCAAAAATTGAGTTCTACAAACTCAAGCAAGATTAGAAAAGTTCACTCTCCCGAAGGGAAGACCCGGTAAGCATCAGAGGACCCAACTCTGGTCTCCTGAAGGAGGGGCCAAAATTCATCTGCCCTTGGAGGAAGAGCAGAGCATTCCAGGCAGCAGGTAGAAGAGCACAGTGCCAGAGCTCTTATCAAGATTCTCAATAACAATGGTCCAAGCAGCTCTGCAAAGACTTTGGGTAATCTCCAGCCCCCAAATCTGGGGGAAATGCTGTGATCTTTGTCCCTGAGACTCTATGCACAATTGACTGGCACCATACCAGGAAGAGTGACTTCCCCTTCCTCTGTGATCGCCTCTCTCACCACTTCTGAAGAGCTCAAGCTTCCCCATTGGAAACAATCTCAGCATGCGGCATAGATCAATTATTATATACCCTAGCTTCGGCTCAATGAAGATTTTTTTCACCCTCAGGAAATGAAAATTCATTTATGTCTCCATACATATGTTAATGACATATTTCTATGAATTCATTCATGAAAATATGTCTCAAATAACTTTCAGACCATGATGGAATATGTTTGTTTCTGCTGTTCAGTTTCATTTCTGTTCCAATAACTGTCATGCAGTTTACTTCAGCAGCCAGAATGAAGGAGATGACTTTTTTCCCCCAATGCAAGTTACTCCATGCCTCAGGAATCTCCTTGTTCTCACTTGATTGAGACCCAGTAAGGGACTTTTTGTTTCATTGTGTGGAGTTTATATAAAGAACTACTAGACACTAACCAAGGAAAATGCATGTATTTAGGTGTGTGAGTTATGTGAGTGCTGACACCAAATCAAGATCTTGCAGCAAGCAACCAAGGAAGAGGAAAATAGCTTGTGTTCCTCCTGGGAATATATCCCAGAGAGGCAAAAACGTGTAGCCGAAGTGACATCTGCACTTGTTTGTTCATTGCAGCACTCTTTACAGTAGCCAGAAACTGGAAGAGACCTGAGTGCCCAAGAACAGATGACTGGTTAAAGAAACTTTGGTACATCTACACAATGGAGTACTATGTGGCTCTTAGAAAAGATGAAGTCATGAACTTTACATACAAGTGGTACAATATGGAAAGTATCATGCTAAGCGAAATGAGTCAGAAAGAGAGGGATAGACATAGAAAGATAGCATTCATCTGGGGGATATAAAATAATAAAATATGAGATTAATACCCAAGAATAGCTGAGAGCAACACCAGGAGAATTACTCCATAACTTAGAGGCCAGCTGGGTATTCTAGGGGAAAGGACAATTCAGATAGAAAGGGGAACACCAAGTGGAGGGTGTTTGGAGGATCCTCCCAGGAGGGGAGATGCAGGTTGAAAGTAGACTGGACTGAACATGTTCGCCACTCAATGCCTCTCTGGCTGATCACAGCGCCCAGGAGGAGAGAGAGAACAGGGGGGAATGCCCTGCCACAGTGGCAGGGGGGGATGGGGGGATGGGAGGATGGGGGGGGGGAGGGATATTATCCTGGTAGTGGAAAATGGGCACTGGTGGAGGGATGGGTATTTGATCGGGGTATGACCGAGATCCAAGCACAAAAATTTGTAAATC